CTGATAAGAAATACTATTTGAGATATTCTTAAATTTAACAAAAAAATCTAAGTTTAAGTCAATTCAATCTAAGTTAGACTAGTTTGATAATCTAATGAGTTTGATTTGATTAGATAAATTTAATGAGTTGTCAAGATGCCAATTATATCCACTATATCTAATATTTAGATGATAATATTAGAGATATTCTAAAATCTAATAAGAAACTCGAGCTTAAGTCAATTCAATCATGATAATTTTTCTTCGAAAAGTTAGATGACATAGGCATTATTAAAATCCAATCTATTAGTTTCAAGTGATAACCGAATGTGTCATCTCTTAAGAAATACGATTCGAGATACTCTTAAATCTAATAAAAAATTCAAGTTTGGGGCAATTCAATCCAAGTTAGACTAGTTTGATAATCTAATGAAATATCTATATTTGATTAGATTAGATGAATTTAACGAGTTATTAACTAAATACGAATTATATCCACTATATTTAATATTTAAATGATAAGGTTTGAGATACTCTAATATCTAACAAGAAATATGAGTATGAGTCGATTCATAATTTCTCTCCCAAAGATTAGATGATAGCATATGTATTATTAAGATTCAATCAATTAGAGCCGAATGTGTCATCTCAAAAAAATATTATTTGATATACTCTTAAATCTAGTAAAAAATTTAAATTTGAGTAAATTCAATCCAGTTTAATAATCCTAGAGATATCTATATTTAATTAGATTAGATGAATCTAACAAACAATAAATTAGATGTGAATTATATCCACAATATCTAATATTTATGTGATAAAGTTTAAAATACTCTAAAACCTAATAAAAAAATTTGAGTTTGAGTTAATTCAATCATGATAATTTCAAGATTAGATAATAGAATATGCATTATTAAGATCCAATCCATTAGTTTCAAGTGAGAATCGAATATCTCATCTCAAATAGTATTTCTTGTGATACCTCAAATTATTTTTTAGCATGTGATTGATTGATCTACATTGTTTTTAGATATAAAACAACAACAGTTCTTCACCTACAATACAACGATTCCTCTACAGATATTTTAAAAGAATGCTAACAACTTTGAATATTGCTGAATGAAAAAAGAATTGACAGTAGTATCAACAGTATAGTTCCTATTGATTTAGTAGATGAAAAGCACATAATAATATTATAACAGGGAAAAAAAAGCCTGTGTCTAAGCTGAACCATATTGCTTTGAATTCTTCATCTTTCACATACCATTATGTCTTATTTCACACCTTAAACACGAGATGCAAAGATCATTCTTCATCACTCCTAAAGACAAACAAAGATCGGCAACAACAAGCAGACAAAAGACCAAACAATCAAATCAATATAACAAAGCTGAAAAGAAATTGGCTGGATTGCCAACAAAAGGGATCCCTCCTGACCGAGTACCAAATGGCAGGAAGGAACCACTGATTCATGTCATCCCCCCTATTTATCTGACTGGCCCAGCTTTGTTGGACCCCAATTATGAGGGCATTGGTGCAGTGTACATCCACGACAAACTTCACCAGGAGAAGCCTGGACATCATAAAAAGCCTCACCTCACAGCCTCCAGCATGAAGAGATAAGGAATGACGATGCATTAAGTATTATATTGTCTGCTAGACTCTTCTGCAGCAATGACTGCACCAACCAAGATGGTGTCCATGCAACAAGAGATAGGAGGACAGCATCAGAACAATGCTTACATTCGCCTCTGACCACCCAAAATAACCCTATCTATGCAGGCCAGTGTTTGGGAGCCCCTCGGAAGTTCCACTGCTGGGGTCCTCGTTGCTGCGGCTGTGTGCATTGGAGGAGTAACGAGTGTGCTTCCTCGAAGAGCCCTTGCATAGCTGGACAGGGTACTTGTGGGCATTGAGCTCCAGCTTCCTGAGTGCGGCCTTCCCCAAGTCCACCCCACAGATGTCCGAGAGCCTCACAAGGTAGAGCAGCACATCAGAGAGCTCCTCCCCCAGGTGTTGCTTCTCCTCCTCTTCCCAGTCAGGCAGACCCCTCGGCACCTCACCTTTCCATTGAAAGATCTCTGACAGCTCCCCGACCTCCCCCACCTGAAGAGAAAGGAAAAGAACAGCAGACAGATCTTATGTAAGCACACAAAAACAGGAGCGAAATTAACCGGATCCGTCGCTACCTCTTTTTGGTTAGACAAGAACAGAGAACGACTACCGATGTCTGAGATCTTTTGAGAAGGAACACAGACCACCTTTTACGGGAAACAACCACACCCATCTCTTTCCTTGTTCCTCCCATCGAAAGCACAGGACGAAGGAAACCATAACCGGTGGTCTTTTCGTGCACCAAAGACGAGGGAGAAATGGCATGAAAGGTAAGAGGAGAGTACCAGAGCTAGCAGGAGGTTCCTGGGGCTATGGAACTGTTCCCAGGCTCTTTCCCTCGCAAACTCTGCCATCTTCCTCCTCAGACTCTCGAGGGTCACACCCTCCTCCTCCTCCTGCCCTGCCGTGCCCGAGACAGCCCCTTCGGTAGTAGTCGACATGTGTGGCTCTCCTCCGTAGGTATTCTTGGCTGTGGAATGGACCAGGAAACCAGAGGCAGCTTATATGATTTGTGTTGCTTCTTTCATTTGCTAGTTCCTCTTAATACATTCAAAAACAAAAAAGAGAGAGACCACAAGAAAATAACTCAGTTACCCTTATAAATTCTAGTCTATCATAAATGAGTGCTTCTAAGGATATTAATGCTGATTAGAGTTCAGATCTAAATGAATAACTATGAAGGCAATTGACGTCGGAGGGATATATATGTACTTTTATCAACAGCATTCAAATTGATTACTTGTAAGCCAAGAAAGTTCAGCACCCTACCGGAGATGGAATCCTGTGCATTTCACATTGAGAATAATTGGATTCGATAAGAGTAGTCGGCTCGGTCATTCTCGTCCTCTTCCCAACCAGATGGAGCTCTTAGGAGAATATTGATATGCTTTTGTTTTTGAGATTGATAAATGTATGTATACATCTTTCGGTGAATGATTTATTCTCTCTTGTTTTATATGTACGCATTAAATAACAAAGCTGTTCCATCCTTACCTATTCGAATAACAAATCTATTGAAACCCACTTTAAGAAAGGAAAAGGTCACTTTAGATTATATTGTTCCTCGTGCTTTGACTGGATGGAGTTGGAAGAGTCAATAATCCAAAAGCAAGAAGATAGAGAGATGGTCAAACTCATGTAGCAACTGTCATGATTCGTGATTTTTTGTCTTCCACGAGAAGAAGAATCCTTCTTTGTTCTCTCTACATGTTCGCAATTTATCAGAGGCTTTTTAACTCCTAACAGATCACTGTTGATTTTTGAAAATTTATATGTTGTTTGAAATCGCGTCATTAGTCATTTGATAACAGTACAAGACAAAGATCAACCCAGTTGACCAAAATTGCGGAAAGACGAAATCGAAGCTTAGATTGACAATCTCAGTCACATAAATATATGTGAATGAAAGCCAAAGCCAAAATCTTGGCACCAAAACTAGTTTCATATCAACTCATGGTATCTTAATAAATATTGATTAAATAATCCGATAAACCCAAATGCATAAATTAAAGTCAACTAAACTTCCATCTGGATAGTGATATGAACCTCACAGAACAACATTTAACCACTGGCTGGCTCACTCGTCCTCCTGGCTGCGCAATCTTGCTAACTTGTTGGTAACAACAATGTCAAGCTGTGCAGCCCGCTCGACAATCAACTTGCGCTTCTTTGTGGAAATGTTGTGTGCAATTTCGGCACAGTAGGTCCTGACAAAGTAAAAAAATAGAATAACATATTGCATCGTGTGCATTTCGGGTGCGATATCAATATGTAAACCAAGGAATAAGAAGGGGTTGTTTAGAAATGCACCTGTTGTGCATCATAAGCAACTCCAAATCGGCAACATTATGGACCACAAATTTCTTGAACCCATTTGGCAGGTAGTGGCGTGTCTTCTTGTCTGAACCGTACCCTATATTTGGCATCAAGGTACATCCTTTGAACTTTCTGCGCACACGGGAGTCGATACCCTTTGGTCTCCGCCAATTTGTCTGTCACCAGATCATTCAATTACGAGAAATCTAATCAGTGAAAATAACAAAAGCTCAAAGGCAAAATTAAAAGCTCAAATTTAGACTCCGCTGCCTATCTATAGAAGAACAAGGAAGAGGGAAAACGGTCGTAGCATAAGTAATATCAACAAAGCACAGGCTCTCAAAACATGATCACTGTTAAAAAAATCAGTGAAAAGAAACAGAGAGGAAAACTGGTAAGTCCGATGGCAGGCTGTAACTGGTTGTCATGGTTTGCCTTAAGCGAGAGCATTCAGACTGAAATTTTGAAAGCCAACCACAACTTAGGGAATGTTACATGTTTCTACAAGCCTGCAAGTGTGGTCTGAGTATTACAGCGATGGTTAGTACACTCGAATCCTATGCCCACCAAAGTAATGTGGTCATCTACCTAATTGATGGCAAAGCATTTACAAACAAGTGATTGACTTGTGACTTTGCTGAACCTTCAAATTACCCGAGAACTATCATTAGGAATCAGTAGCTCCTTTGAGATTTGGGTTTGAAAAACAGCTCTTATATGTGCAGAATAAGACTATATTAACAGAACCTCCACAAACCCTGAACCTCATGCACTTGTTTATCCTTCCATATTAGACCAACTTTTAAATGAATTCATTTTCTCCATGATTCAATATCACCATGCTATGAATACCAAGCATTTTAAAGAGAAAAAGAAATATACTCTGGTGATTCTAAAGGATTTCATCAAGTATAAGAATCTGGTCAAGTCACACAGGAAGGTCTTTGGAAAGAGAAACCAGAATAGATACTGCTTTTTCAAATTGCAGGATAACAGTATATGATGAGCAACCGAGTGTAAAAGGTAACTCCGATATTAATGGAGAATTTTCATACATATCCCTAAGAAAGTAGAGAACAACAAATATAGCCTGGAAAAGTTTACTATATACCCCTCAAAACCTTGTATTAAAAAATGCATCTCCAAGGTTAACTACTGTCCCTGGTCTATTAGAAACCAGCTGTTAGTGGTTAAAATATATACATGATTTTATAAAATATAAACACAAATAGTGCCTCTTCTTAATAACACAGCTAGAACGTGGGAATCTTATTGCTGTATTATCCATTAAAAGAACATGATGACCACAATGTTCAAATCAGGTTGAGATGCTAAAGATTCGTATTTTGAAGGTATCTATCGACGGATACTCTCATGCTACCTTTAGTTAGTAAAACCAATTAACATAAATAAGAGATCAAAAATAAAACAAACAGACATGAGTTTCTAGTGCCTGACCGAACAAAGCATAAGAAAGCAACAAATGAAAAATCCAATAGATAGAAAATGAATCCATTTGATAGAAAAATATGATTTTCACCACAAGCAATTAAATTCCTTGATCAGCGGGGAAAAAAAATTCAACGTTCAAAATCCTAGATAGTGAAGACTTCATATCCACATCAAGAGCAATTACCCTCGACCTAAAAAAAGAGCAGTCACATTTTACATTTGTGGAACATTTCTGCATTTTATATGAAAAAGACAGGCTGATTAAACTTATCCATGTAGAAGAATGAAGACAACTATCATTTCCCATAAAATAATATTGAAATTTTACATGTTCTTTAACATACCATGATTCCACTAGCATTGTCATGTAGATGTGGTTATGCCTATTCTGTGAAAAAGACACGCTGATTTAACTTACCATCATAGAAGAATGAAGACAACTAACATATCCCACAAAATAATATTGAAAATTTACATGTTTTTTAACATACCATGATTCAACTACCATTGTAGATACGTTTACAAACTCTTCCCCATGCCTAATATCACATAACATCTCTCGTACACAACATAAGGGAAGACACAAAGAAGATTATAAACTAGAACAAAAATTGTAGGGCAAAAGCATCAACCTAAGAGCAAAATATACAATCAACGCCAATCCAGCAATGAAACTTCAGCTGTCAACTCATTTTAGCAACCAAACAGTCATCAGCATACTAGACATGTACATATATTTAAGGAAGGGTAATAAACATATAAATCGATCTTACCTTCACGCAGATCTTGCGGTCGCTCTGGGGCCTCTTGAACTGCTTGACACGCTTCTTGACGATCCTCTTCGTGAGCAACGGAACCGCCATTTTCTTGTTCGCAAAATTTGAAAAAACTGACGCTTTAGCACTCTTCGACGAAATTACTACTACATCTAGAATCAATTTCTCCCCAAAAATTCGATTTTTCTCCCACCCGAAGCACCAAAAGAAGCAGAAAAATTAATACTACATTTAGAGTCGACGATCAGACAGGAATAGAACGATCGAGCCTTACCGCTGCGTTCTGCGCGTCGACCCCGCCGTCCCAGAATTCCGAACCCTAGCCGGGAAGTGCAATTTATAGATCATTAAACGTCAGTACTGTTCATCAGAGCCGTCCATTTATCCCCACGTTCACTGCGCGATCCATCAAACGCCTGCGAGAGGCCGCTGCACCCCTGAAACTTGTCAAGCCGATTCATCCAGATTGCTCTTAACGTTGTGTTACACGTATGTGGACACGTGGTGGGACTACCTTCGTCCTCTTCATGCTGATGGCTAATTAGTCATCAGCTTCGCAGTCATCGACGCATTAATAGAATCATTATTTATTTATTTTATATGTAGCAATACTTCTTAAAATTATATTTTAAATAATTGGACTAATTATACGTAGAATTTATTATCTTTTTTTTGGATAATTTACCCAGAGAATCCAACATAATGAATTTTTGCTGAGGAGCACCAAAGCAATACATTTCATTTACTAATGTAGCATTATAAAAAAGTTATCAAATATAGATAATTGCTTCATTAGTTTTTTAAATTTATTAATATTAGAGGTGAGTATATTACTACTATAAAGCTTATTAAAAACGTTTTAAACATTCACGATAAAATGAAAATATGGTATGAATAATTATTCACGATTATTTTATTTTGGATTTTTAGAAATTTCTTAATTCAATTTGGTGAATAAACTACCCAAAAAGCCTATTATGTGAACTTTTCTTGATAAAATGCCCATTATTATACTCGATAATTGTAAAAAGCCACCTGTGGGTCCCTTTCACTATTTCTTGGGTACAAAGTGAGTAAGGCTAGAATTCTGTTCTGTAATTATTATTATTTCTATTAATATGATCATCATTTATCCCGCCAAACGGATTCAAGAAACCCCTTCTTCGCCAATATGGCCGCGGAGGAGAATGTTCGCTGCCTGGCCTTCTTGGCGAAGCCCTTCGTTGCTCCCTCGTCCAGCGCCGCGCCGGCGACGCCCTTTACCCCTTCCTCCTCCGCGGACAAGAAATCGGTGCGTTTCTTTTTCTTCCCCTCAATCTTGATCCTTTTAAGATGCAAAAACTTTAGGGTTTCGAACCTGGATTAACGTCTCATGGCTTCTTGGTGCCCCGAACACGAAGAATGCAGGTTTTTCTGTTCGATTGATGGTTGATTAAAGGGGAAAGTGGGGTCGAGGCGAAAAGGTTGGCCGTCGGAGGGTGGTTTACGACGAGGTGAGTCTTTCCGTGGTTCCTGTTTTGAGCTAGTTTAGTATATTCGTGTCCTGCTGTGGCTTATTGGTAAAGAATGCCCTTATTTTGCTCTCTCTTAGATACTCGCGAACAGCAAGAACCTACTTAAGGTGATCATATCTCCTCAAGCAAGATTCTTCTTGTGACGAATCATTTAGTTCCTTTTTTTGGCATATCATGTTTTTTCTCTTCAAACTAAGTGTATTTTTTGATCGTTATTGATCGCTTAATATATCACCTAGAAGGCAAGAAATGCTTATTGGAAGCACCGTATCTTGTATGGTATCTCATGTGGTAATTCATAGGATGTGAAATACTTTTCTCAGTAGACATCATCTTATGATCCTTGCTCTGATTCGTCATGTTTGTTTTCTCAGTAGACATCATGTGCTTATTATAAATATACTGCGTCCATATCTTTGCTTCAATATATTATAAATGTATTTCAATTGCAAAAAAAAAAATTTACATTAATTATGAACAATTTTTATTAATTTTGACCATAAAAACCTCTCTACCTAGAATGGGAAAGCCATGCACTAGCAGCAATCTCATGCAATTTTGTGTAAAGTATTTGCCAAATATATAACAAATACTACATTAAGACAATCTATCAAGGAATTGAAGTTTGTTTCTTGTGGAAACTTGGAGCATCTATCATGACAAAACTCAAGTAGCATTTGCACAAGATCTCTAAAGGTTCTCAAGCAATTTCTTGGAACTAACACTTTATTCTAGGTTGTTACACTTTGTTCTGGATTTCTAAAGAATCTCAAAGGATGAATGAGAAATAATGGGTACATATGGGCTCAATGAGCTTAAGGTGGTTGATTTACTACTTGTAGCTGACATGTCCATTTCTGTGACTGATTATATATCAATAATCTGTTTACCTTGTCTTAGTAGAAAGGAGTGGAATATTTTTCTTTCTTGATGACATGATCAAAGTGCTAGGCCTCAAATTTATTACATAGTTAAAGGCCCAATAATATGGATAGTTGAAGTCTTCATTTCAGTTCCCTCATGGTTGGTTGAAAATATCTGTTCTGGATCTGCTAAGTTTCTTTTTGTTATACCTTTTGCATCATTGTTCCATGTTCTTAGTTTTTTTTTTGTTTCCTTTGAAGTAGTAGACTATTAGTTAAGTTTTCTAATCTTGGTTTTATTTTCTAATCTTGGTTTTATTTTCTAATCTTGGTTTTATTTCTAATCTTGTCATTTTTATCACCTGGTATGAGAAAGTAAATATCCTTGCGTAGCTGTGTGATTAAGTTCATGCATTTGGTTTCACCATCTACTGCTGCATGTTGCTTTCTTTATTACCTTTTGAAGAATGGACTTCCCTATTTGTTGCTTGTCTGTTTAATGTGTGTACCATTAACTTTGCACTGAGATGATTGGTTGGTCCCGTGGCATGAAAATGGAAATGAAAATTTTATTGCAACTTGATGTTTTTTCAAGGATATACTGCTCTGTTAATTTTTTTATTATTAAAATTGTCATGGTTTTATTACTATATGAAACTTTACTGCAGGCAACATGTAACTAGATTTTTCAGTTTTGCACCTGTTATTAAACGAAATGATGCTTATACTCTTGAGACCGCAGCCAGCATTACTGTTGTAGTTCAGGGCATGATAAACAAAGAACATACACAAGATAATGGTTTTCCTGTTGAGGTGTGAGATCTTTTTTTCTTTTATACTAATAATTCAGTGAGCTCAAGAAAATCCTGCCAGACACTCATATTTAGTCCTGACAGTCCATTGTTTGATTAGTGAATTTCCTATGTTCTTTGGGAAGTGTTGTATTTATGTAATTATAAGTTATGAAAGAAAGCCTTCATCTTGAAGGACTTTGAACTGATTCAAAAGACATAATTAATCTAAAACTGCATAGAATTTGTAAACTGTTGTCATTGCATAGTTTATTAGCATTAACAAATTTGTCAACTATATGCCTTCTAGCTCATCGTATTTACAGGTCTGCAATCGTTTCTTGATTGGATTTTCATATAACTGGGATCAGTATGCTGATGAATATTTAGTTAACAATCATAGCACTAATCATTTCCAAGATTATGTTGATGGGAAGTTAGATGCCGAAGGCTGTAATAGTCCATAGTTTTAAGATGTTTCAGGTCTTAATTATGGTGAGAAACTGGGAGATGATGTAGCAGGAAGGCTATACGGTTCGATAAATCAATAATAAATGACAGATGGTTTGCCTATTCCCACAAATTTGGACACCAAAGATGTATTGAAATTTTCTGATGTCATAGGAAAAAAGAAGGCTAGAACTTGGTAGGTAGGAAGTGTTGGAATAAGACATGTAGAAAGTGAACTAAAAGGCTTTGATCACTCCAAAATATCTGAACATTGTTCTACAAGTAATGTAAAAGAATCTTCATTAGAGAAGATTAAGAAGTGTAATATTCCTTCTGTTGAGAATCCTATAGCTCAGATGTGTCCTGATATTGAACTAACAGGAGAATCAGAAATGGACATGGGCTGTCGAAAGCAACCTTCTGTCACGGACTTAGCTGGTTTTGCCTAAGTCGTGCGGCACCCTTGCCTGTCCGTCCGCAAAGGTCAGTCTCCTCGAAGCCTCAATCGGGATCCATAAGTAAACATCTTCGAAAAACACTTCATAGACAATGCAAATTACAAACAGACTTTACAAGCTCTGAACAGTTGCACAACAAAGGGTAAAATGGTCCATTATAGACCAAAAATCTCTCGCACGTGTCCACATGACACAACCTTTATTTACAAGCCTAAAGAGGCCACCAACTCAACTAAAATGGGACTATTAAGCCTTCGGTCATCCCCTTACATGTTGTACAAGGTATGAACATACCAAAAGACACGGACATACATAGGCATTACATCAAACATCCTGTTTAGAAGTTTGTCTGTGACATTCTCCCTCACTTATTCCTTCGATGTCCTCGTTGAAGCCTTTGTCGACACTGCAACTCCTCGCCTTTGCTGAGTCTTCAATCTTCTGCTCCAGCTACAATGCGCTTCTTGGCTCCTAGCTGCTCTCCGCTGCTGTTTTTGAGTAGTCGAACCTTTGATCCGCCATGCTGCTTCAACTCACCAATGACTCTGACTCAGGTGTGGGGTTGGCTGAGTTGTGTTGATCATTGTTGATTCCTGCGGATCCCCCAGATGAAGGAAAAGACCATTCTTACTGCGCCAGTCTCTCAAATTCCTCATGCTGCTTGAACTGGGTGGATGCTTGTTGGAGCTTTAACGAGCATCGTCTCGCAAACTTCTGAAGTTTTGGGTCATTCCTCCACAAAATTTGCTCATAGACTCTTCTTTCACTTAGTTGTCACATCCAAAGAGGTTCGCATCACTTCCACGTTCGATTGGCATTTCGTTGGGAAATGAAGCGGACAATCTACTCTCAGTAACACTGATCACCGTTGGTGAGGATTTGACAACTATTATCTTCTATTATCTTCAAAGGGTCTTTGAACATATGCAGAGCTCCTCTGCTAGATAGATAAGAGAATTGGGGTACTCGGTTTTGCCCATTCTCTTAAGAGTTGAGAAGGCAAAGTTCACTTGACTTCGCCCACCTCTTCGAGGTTGTACTCCATGCATCGAGCTGGTTACTAGCCTTCGCCTGCTCTTTGCTCACACTTCTGAAGCACTTGAAGTGTTTGCACTCCTTGCGTTGAGTTAGTTACTGTGATTCACCTTCTCAATGCCATCGAACTTCTGGAATGCAGGAAGTTTTCACCCCAACTTGGAGTAATTCTTTCATAGGTTTGGTCGCCTCTGGGATTGTACCATCTTCTCCATCAACCCTGTCGCCTACTCCACTGAGTAGCAAAGGTACAGCACCGCGTACTGCCTGCTTCGTTCCTTGGTCGTGCACTCTTGCATGACCCGAAGTCCTTCACTTACGGCTGTCTTGATGAGAAGCACACTGACACCGGTCTTACGAAGTTCCTCGGCCTCTGCCCTTCAGCCTTATCCCGGTACTTGGAGATTGCCTCTGCATGCTCCACCTCCTCGGCCCCTTTCACGACCAAGCGCTCTCCCTCCATGAGAGCAAGGGATCAGTGACTTTCACGGAAGTCTCGCCTCTGCGGTACCATGGCGCTGCCATGCCCATGGCACTACTATCCGTCGCCTCGCATATGCATCCATTTTCTTCACAATCAGTAGATATGCCTCTGTGGCACTCCTCCGAGTCCACCTCCATTCTAACTGATGCTTGATATTGGGTAGCTAAGTCCCTCTGGATTCGTCGTCGCTTCCTCGCCCCTTTCGACCCCCTGCTTCAACACCTCTGTGTTCTCCAAGCAGCTCTCCTTTGGTCGTTGGAAAGACATACTGCAACTCCCATGCATGGCCTCCGCCGTCGCATTATAGGGTCTGCACCGATTCTGTTCTCCTTAGCTTCCTTGGTAGCAACGTTCGCTTACTCGATTTTGTCCTCTGACTTGTCAGGCTCCTTTAAGCGAATATGAGCTCTGGAGCAGTCCCAACTCTCCAGTTGCTTCAATCATACCTCTGCATGATCAAGTCCCTCCCATGGAACTCACTGGTACTTGCATTCGAACTTTTCCCTTGGTGGAACACAGCCCCCATATGCTGATGACCAAGGTTTTCATCCGATGCAAAATTCGATGCACGCACGGAAGACCCGCCTCTGCGGTACCATGGCCTTCACTCCTTGAATCCATAGCCCTTCTTGCCGTCGTGTTGTTCACCGAAGTGGAGCTTCCAGTAGCTCCCGATCATACCTCTGTATGATCTAGTCCCTCACGGGACTATGTCGTGTGTATCGCATTGCCATGAACTGTTCCACCACGATCCGCTGCACCATGTCGCCTCTTGGTGACATCTCCATTGCATTCTGATCCTTGTGGAATAAACTCGGATTGTGAACCCTCCATGTGTGGCCTTTGCCAATACATCGCAGGGTCTCTTCCACCTTCGATTTTGTTCGCTCCTTTGGCAATCGACCTTCATCCACCCACTCTTGGGTCACACCTAGATGAAGCACCGCTCTAGGACAATCCGTCGCCTAGTAGCTCCCGAAGTCCACCGACTTCACTGTAATTTGTGCACCATTGTCTGGATCCTAGGCCTTTGCCCCTACCAGCACAATCTCCGCTGCGCACCACTTCCTTCATGGCAGCTTGAATGGCAACATTATGGCATATTCTTCAAGAGTACCCGCCTCTGCGTCCTCTTGCCCCGTGCTAAGGCCTTCTGAACCCAACTTCGCCTCCGCAAATTGAGTCGTCTTAGTTCCTCCATCAAATGCTTCTCCGAGATAAGGTGCATGTGCCCAGAAGCTCCTTTCGTCTTTGGCACCATGCAAGATGAGTCCACTCCGTCAGAATGAAGGACCCATGGAACAACATGATTCTACTCTTGCCTCTGCAAGAGTTCATGTCCTTGACCTCTGTCTAGGGAAAACACTGTGCCTCCGCTCCATGTTCCAACTTCTATGTTGGCTCCCTTCATGCGGCTTGGGTACTTCCCCAAGTTACACCCAAGTTCTTCCGCTCCTCGTTTTTGCATTGAGTCGATGGTGGCCCTCGCGCCCACCATTCCACGGGTCAGCCCTCCCTTGAGTCTGATCTCCAGATCGACTCCAAGTGTGTCTTCATTTATGTTGCTTTGGAACGCTCCCCCACTTGATCTCGCAATGCATCCACCAATGCATTCTCTCAAGCGAGATCATGCGATGACTCCTCACCGCTTGCTCGGTCCATTGAGCTTCGTGGAGTTGTTGTTTGTTGAGGTACCCCTTTTCAACATGTGCCGAGTTTCGATCGCCTTGGGATGGCCACGAACATTCCATCGTCCGCATACAAACCCATGCATGAGTATCGAATTCTTTGAGTTAGCAATTCCCCTCACCTCTGTGAGCTTTGCACAACTCTTTCGATCGCTGAGCAACTCATTCCACCTTGCATGGTCGCATCCTTTACCAAGCGCCTCGCTTGCCTTAAGCACCATCAAGTATAATTGTCAACGTTGAGCCGTAGCTCAAACTCAGCCATCCCAACCTTTGTGCGCTCCACATTCTTCCAAGCTTGTATGTTCTCGTGGTGCCTCTTGCGCGAAGGGTTGGTCATTCCTCTGAATGCCAATCTCAGATGCTCGCTCCTCCGAGCGACTCCTTTTCCCTACATCTCCATGCCCGTTTTCCCCTAAATGGTCGCGCGTGTGCTGACTGCCCTCAACGCAGCCCCGCTAGGTCCCCCACGTTTGCATGCTAAGTGTTTCTATGAGTGCTTGTCCCGCTCTGATACCATCTGTCACGGACTTAGCTGGTTTTGCCTAAGTCGTGCGGCACCCTTGCGTGTCCGTCCGCAATGGTCAGCCTCCCCGAAGCCTCCCATTGTCCCTTAGGACCAACAAAAGAGAGAACGGGTTAGAGAGAACGCCTCAATCGGGATCCACAAGCAAACATCTCCGAAAAACACTTCATAGACAATGCAAATTACAAACAGACTTTACAAGCTCTGAACCGTTGCACAACAAAGGGTAAAATGGTCCATTATAGACCGAAAATCTCTCGCACGTGTCCACATGACACAACCTTTATTTACAAGCTTAAAGAGGCCACCAACCCAACTAAAATGAGACTATTAAGCCTTCGGCCGTCCCCCTACATGCTGTACAAAGTATAAACATACCAAAAGATACGGACATACATAGGCATTACATCAAACATCATGTTTAGAAGTTTGTCCATGACACTTCGGTGAAGGTTATTGAAGAAAAAGAAAGAAAGAAGGATAGCATTCAGAAACAAAACCAGGGCTGTACTGAATGCATTGCCCAAAAAGGTTTTATGCACTTCTCCACTTGTGCAGAAATGAGGCCATTAGCTGAAGGCTAAAGTAACAGTCAAAACTACATCCACTGGAACTGAAGAGCAGTTATCAACTGTTAAGGGTCATAACTATCCATCTGTAAGTGGTATTTGTACTTACACTTGGCTTTCCTGCTTCTGTTTCTAGGTCAGAGGGCTTATAAAAGGCAAATCAGTGGTCTCATCTAAAATGAAACTCAAGAGTTTAAAAAAACTATGAAGTTGCAAGCACTTGGCTGGAGACAGCAGAGAACAAACCAAATTGCCTCAACTGTCTGGTGAAAGGTTTCACACATACTTCTGAAGACCGTGCCTCTGTGAAAGGTGGCATTAAGAATGCATCAACTGGCAGTCCGGCTCAGGATCCCACTCTTGTATCTATCTCATTATACTTTCAGCTCATCCAAAAGGGAATTAGGTTCTGACAATTTAAAATGCAGCTTGCAGCCACCTCTTTAACCGAGCCGTGCTGCCACCAAGGAACTGGAAAAACAAAATGATGAGCTTGCTGTTGTTGATCACATTGCTACGGAGAATGATACTTGTTTAAAAGGATCTCCTTGATATATAACAAAAAATGCAGTTCAATTGTCATGAATCAGATAAATCATTGGAAATGATTGGCAAGACGATAACAGATAAAATGAATGACCAAGATGTAACTCTTTTATATAGTGCCATTTATGCAACTCTTTTCATTGAGTTCATTTTTCTCCTTATTTACCAATTATGATGAGAACATTAGGCAACATAAAGAATTTTATCTTTATAATATTAAAGAATTTTTTACTTTAGTCATGTCTGTGCTCGTGTATGGTTGCTTAATCTGTCGGCCCTTGCTCAGGTAGAAAAGGACACGAGTGACTTCTTCCTCTTCGGACTCTTTTTCCTTCTTTTTTTAATCGGTGCGAGAGGTGACCCTGTTTTCCTTGCATTAAGTTTATTGTTAGTTATGGTGAAAGTTGACAGATTAAACATAACTTAAGAAAGATTAACATGAGGGGGGCTATTAGCGAGGCAAAGGCATGAGGGGGGGCTCGCGTGCATATATATATATATATATACATACATATATATATATATATATATATATCTCCACGTTGCAACATCCTGTCATTAAAGTTGCACCTTCAAAAGCAGATTCTATGGAATTATATAATAGTAAAACCAAGTTTAAACAGAGCACCCAAAGCATATAATAACAAAAAATAAGTTTAAACATTGAGAATAAATTATTGTGCATTAGTTTATCAATACTCAGAACCCTACAAAATATAGTTCAAGACAGCCAATTCTCCCTCTTCAATACGTGGGCTGAGTTCAAAGTTCATACAAGTTCCCGAGCAACAATTTGTGGTATTCGATGTTTGGTGCTTGTAACACTTCCCGGGCGGCAGAATTCCTGATTGTAGCTGCCCATCAACCATTCCTGAGCAACAATTTCGTAGCCATGAGACATTGTAGAACCAAGTGCAACAAAACATCATTACCGAGATCAAAGCAAGAAAATGCACACTATCATCTCTTCAATCCCACTAAAGAGAAAGACAGAAGAGAAAAGAGAGAATTAAAAAAAAAATAAAAAGATTGCTTGTGCAAGATGGTAAAGAAAGGATTGTATATCGACAATCAGGAAATTGTTGCTCGGGAAAAAAAAACTACGGGGAAAAAAAAAAAAACAATGCAGGAGTCTATATATGATCTGGCCTACCTACTTCTCTATAGTCCTGATGACCTCAAGGAAATAGATTAAACTAACACAAAACAGAACAGAATGCTCATGACCATAAACAGGAATCTCATGCACTGTCCACAGAGATTGGAAAGCTCAAATAATACAAACAGAAACCAAAGAGCTGCCAGTATAACTATGAGAAAGCAATTTTTAGACGCCCATACATACCATGGAAGAAAAATACAATTGATCACAATTGCATAAATGCAGATATAAATTAATGGCATAAACTAAGGCAAATTAGAAACAACTCGAATGCATATTTACTTGCTTCATATTCTTTTGCAGGATAGAGAACATGATCAACAGGTGTGGTAAATATTATTCAAATGCTTCATGTTAATGAATTACTCACTGCTTGTAATACGCTGTTCCCAGAAGACCATTAACATAAATCTCAAATTTCTATGATTTAACATTTTCAGCAAGCTGCAGTGGCAATAAAAAAATGATGATTAGTGACATTGTTTCAAAGGGCAATATAGCAAGCATGTTTATGGCATTAAAAAAGTAAAAAAGAAAAAGAGACAAGTTTCACACATACAATTGAGCAAGCTACTTTTTCTGAGTGTAACTTAAACATTTGAAATTTGTTGTCCAACAAAAGATGGTTTTCAAGAAAACTCCCTTTAACCAAGAACTGATTTCCGACACTAGCATGTGAAGTAATATATTTTGCAACCAATATTAAAAGCACAAAAGAACTTCACAGACTAGAATAGATTCTATGCATCTCATATCCAATAATCAATTCTTGACTAAGCATTCAAGAGGTTAGACCACTGAACCAATTTATCTCCCATGCTAAACAAGTCCTACTATTAACCTACAGAATCTATAAGCTTAGAAAAATCCAGACCAGTTTCCATCTAGACTTCTGCTAGATGTCCAGTTACCAGTGAATTTGAGTGGAATATCTAAACCTAATCGAAATTAAGACATCAATCTTTCAAACTAAACCAACTAACCAATATCTCAAATATAATGTACAGAAAGAAGAAGATCCTATGATAATCAAGTCCCCATGCAATCGATAAAGAGAATGATAAAAGAATGTTCTAATTTAACCAACCTAGAGGAGACAAGCTATCGTGCTCACATCATTCTACCTAATAAGCCCCTTCTAGAATTATGACCATTACATTGTTCTAAATTTAGACCACACACTCTACAGAACAACATGAATTCCTCAAAAGTCTTTTCCCTTGCTTCCACTTCCAGTATTACCTTTTTACTAATGGGCAAAGTAGATATGCGATGCCAACGTTGCGAAAGAACATATGAGCAAATTGGACAAGGGGATAACTCTATGGCTTCGTGTTCTTAGTTCTTGCTCAAACCCTAGCCGTATTCTTTTTGACTGAACGCTTCATCAAAGGAAAGATTAAAGAAACAATTGGCCTTTCGCAAGGTAACAATCGCTTCGCATGTCAACTGTCTTCTATTTCATCAGATTAACAGCACGACTCATAAACGAATGAATGAGCGAAAGAAAGAAAGGAAGAAGGAAAGAACGATGCTCAGCTTAAAAGGGGTCATCATCGGACTTATCATTGAATCTTTAGGTCAATGAGATGGGAAAGAAGTGCAGAGGTAACCCGTCTCGAGATAGATGGGGCCGGAGGAGGCGAGCTCCTCGCAGACGAGGTCACCACCGGCCATGTAGTGGACTCCGAGGAGTTGGGAGATGTGGATGTCGTAGGCGCCTTCCCAACGCCGGGGAACCCTAGCTACACCACACGGATCCGCCGCTGGGGTCCAGGCCAGGCCGGCCGGGAACAGGGCGATCTGCTAGGGCGGAAAGCCCCCTTCTCGCCGCCGCAGCGTCCAGATCTGCGGAGGCGATGGAGGATCGCCACGGGAGAGCGACCGCGCAAGGGCGAAACTCCAAATCATGAACCAAGAAGAGGCGGTTACCGTTTCGCCGAGGCGAAGCGAGATCAAAAACAGAAACGTCTCAAGCACGTGAGTTGAAGAGAAGCGTTACGTGTGGCCGACACGTGATTCCTTTATGGGCCGAACGTCTCCAAATAAGCCCAAAAGCTCGGCCCATAAGACCCAATTTAGGGATTCCACGAGGGTTGAAATGCCAAACATGTTAGGGGGAAACAAAAATAAACAAATTGGATATTACACAGAAGGAAAAAAAAAACTAATAATGCAATTCTTCTGTTGTCAAACAAAATTGGATGAACATTGACCCTTCAGATGACCCGTGGACAAGTGACAACCATGATTTCTTTTGGTGTCACCTGAAAAAGAAGCTGTAAAGTCCTAGCTATATACATATATAATAAAGAGCAAGATAAGATTTCTTAGTCAAGACCATCAAATGTGATCCATGGTGGCTCTTTACAGATCTTGCGGCGATAAACAAATCCAGACATTGTCATGTGGGACCATATTACTTGCAGGCCACAAAAAGGGTCTCCCATCTCAGACATGATCCTACTCCTCAATGACACAGCAACCAGCAGGTGTTTGTGGCGCAGAAAGATGCGAAGTTTCTGCATCAAATTAACAACAGGATATTGTAGTCATGTGATATTAATATTCCAAAGGGTTTGGGTGTCGACAGGGAGGAGTTTATGTGGGAAGGATGTGGAGTTCTTATCCAGTTCCTCTCCCTTACCCGAGAGAGGGGGACAGCCTGAGAGCACATGAGGATAAAACCGAATCTATGTGGGAGCAACAGCGAAACCTGAAAGCTTATCCCAACCCCACACCGTCCATTATATCCTCCTCATGCCCCACTGCAGAAGCCTCGTCTCTTGCCTTTCTTTACCATCTCTTCCGTTCAAGCTGAGTCGAGGCTTCAGTGGATGCATGGAGGCGTCTCTCTTGCCAGACAATAAGCGTGGGATCATGGATGAGGAGGAAGAGCTCGAATCCATGTCTTCCTTCTACAGCGAAGAGGATGACTCGGATCGGGAATCGATGGAGGATGCAACGTCCTCGAGTTCATCTTTGTCCTCGTGTCCACCGTCGTCATCGTCGTCGTCGTCGTTGGATGATCAGCTCGAAGAGGGGTCTCTCTTTCAGATGTCTTCCCTCATCTCGGTGCTTCCCATCAAGTAAGTTCCACCACCACCCCTCCGATCCTGTAAAGTTGTTAGCATGGAGCCATCAATACATGCATCAGATCGGATTGGCCTCATGAAACCCTTTAGTCATTGCTTCTTCATCCATAGTTTATGGCACATGGCCGGTTAAGGATGAACACTTGCGGTATCATCGTCTCAAAGTGTCATTGTTTCTCTTGGTAAACAGGAGAGGGTTATCGAAGCATTTCAATGGGAAGTCACAGTCCTTCACTTCTCTGGATAACGTGCGGTGCTTAGAAGATATCGTGAAGCCTGAGAGGCCATGCAATAGAAGACTCAGCTCCTGCAAGAGTTACGGAGGAGGGTTGGATAGCCACAAAGCATTGTCTCCAAAGGCTTCCTCCAGGATCATCACAAAGAAGGCTTCTTCTTCTTCTTCTTCTTCCCTGCTAAGCGCAAGGAGGCACAGCTTGTCGAGCAACAGGCCTCCTGTTTGCCCACCACACAGACCAAGCAGCCTATCAGGCCAAATGAAATTTTTGTGCACTTGACAGCCTATCAGCTTCTTTTTCTCAGTTATTCTCATGTTGTTGACTGATTGGTTGTACACATGTTCAATGTAATGTTGTTTGTTGATTTCATGGGATCTTGTTGGTGGCATTTCTTGAGTTTTGCAGCATAAATCATCTCTCTCCATTTCTCATATTAAAGTTATTGATCATGAAGCATCCACACTCAGAGAAATTCATCTTAAATGCACAAAGATAAAGAAAAAATCGGAAGATCATTTGATGAATTCATCCTCGTAACGCTACTTACCTTTTGAATCGAGAGATCGATAAACATACTTCTTCTACTGCTGGTCTTAAGTTATGTCAAATTCTGTGCTGCACATATAGACAAATAAATCTGATGATATATAGGAGGAAAATTCGAGCATGATAGTAGCAAATCAATCGTCGAGAATACTTGAGTTAGACGGAGCAAGTAAATATATTAATAACGATTTATGTTAATGAGTCTTAAGTTGGTACCAAAAGTATAAATTCATTAAAATGTAAGGAGCGAAGGGAGAGGTTTTAGTATACTGTAGGATTGGACACAATTGAAAGCCAACCGAATTCATTAGGCGACCTGTTTAATGATGCATCATATCGCATTTCTAAATATATACTTTCAATATCGATGGACGGACTCTACGCGAATCTTTCTCCGATACAAAGACGAGCATAGTGTGGAGGTATCAATTTCAGGCATATCCTTTCACATTTTACCCGCCTGCTATGCGTATGCCAACAAACACATATTGCATGGTATAGAATGTATCGTCTTCGATGTGCAATTCATCCGTTGGATCACGTGATTCGCAACAAGATTAGCATTGAACAGCAATATCATCAATCGATTGCCTTTGATCATTACAAAGAGAATTCAGTCGCCTGTTCAGATCCACAGATGGCAAAGCGGAAAGAAAACAGAAATCCTACCACATCAGAAAGTACAAGGAAAACTCCAAAATTAAAATGGAACCCTACTATCACAGGGTTGGCATACGGTTGCTCATCTCTAGCAAAAAAATTAGTGTGCGGTAAACAAAACAAAGCAAAACCACTACTAACTCAAACATCTTGTAACAGTTGCTGAAACAAAAGAGAAGAAGATACTCATATATGTATATATTTCAACCAATCTAAAGACCAGAGAACTGATCAGCTAGAAACTAGAAGCCCAATGAAAGTGCCCTGTTCAATTTCTGGCAGGTGCACCGGCGGCTGATCAACCAGTACGGCTTCCTCGACTACTGCTTGATCTGATATGATCAACCCTCTGGTATCCAACATCGCCTCCTCGACTTGAAAATCCTCCCCTACCACCACCTCTGCTTCCAAAGTCCCCTCTACCGTATCCCATCCCACCACCATAGTTGCTGCGTCCTCTACCATCGTTGCGGAACCCACCCCCTCTACCGGGCGCAAACCTTCCTCTGTTACCAACTGGCAGAAATCAAAGTTTGAAATAATTAGAATATAACACAGGCAGAGATGTTTATCCAATTTGAGAAGTTAGGTATGCCCATGCGCCATCAATGATTTGTCTTGCAATTCTATAAAATGCAATATGAAAGCAACATACCCTGGTACAAATGTTTCTTGATTTGAGCTTACACTGCAATAATGGGCTTTCTATACTAAGGTAGTTCAGTTCATTTGTGCAGGAAAAATTGCTTATAGTGCCAATGGTGATAACAAATTCAAACTGATGAAACCAACTTGTGTTGAAATTACTGGCAAAAGAAGTATATATAACTAAATTTAAAATGTAGAAGAAAATGAAAAAGTAACCATCCATGCAAACGTCTAGAATTAAAAATCAATTAGGCACTTGCCTCGTGAGCCTGGAGCACGCTTTTCCTCAACATAAGCTGAGCGACCACCTATCATTATGGGTGAGGCCTGCAATTTGAAATGAAATCAACATAAAATTGTTTCACCAATCACGGATCAGACAAAAAAAATATGGTTAGAAACTAAATGCATATAGATACGGATGACAATTAAAACTGTTTCAATTTAAGTTGTCAAAAAGAATATATATATATATATATATATATATATATATATATATATATATATATATATATATATATATATATATATATATATATATATATATATATATATATATATATATATATATATATATATATATATA